TTGGCGCACCTACACTGAACAGCCAATGGGCACTAATTGCAATTATGCAACTCAGGATCGAGCTGGCCAGTACAGCTGTGCCTAACGTATGGCAACATTCAAGTAACATCATTAATAAGAAATCTCCACACCAACTGTCCAGAGGGTAGCGACAAAAAGAGGGGCCTTGGCACTGTTAAAAATCTTCAACTAATGCATGAACATAACATTTTTGCATGCAGCAAGTTTTTATTTAACAAAAAAGGAAAAAGAAACTTACCCCCTCTAATGCCTCGGAAGATTAAAATATTTTTGAGATGCCAGAACAGATGCTGTATACAGGCGAGCAGGGTTGGCACACGGTTCAGCACATATATGCAGATGAGCAGCATTGCTATTGAGCATGCCACATTATGCGCTATTATGAGACGATTCACAGGCATTGCGCACATGCGAGCAACCACTGGGATGAGAAATATCGCGAGCGAAACTCGAGCCAAATCACTTTTCAGTCCCAGAAGGCAGCTCAGCGCCACACAAAGCACCAACTGAAAGAAGAAATATTGCGCCCAAAACTGATCAATTAGTGAGCAAATCAATTGATCGATCGCTCAGTTAGCCAATCAGTTAGTTAATGAGCGCTAGTTACTGCATAAAAATCTTCAAAGTGAAAAATCACGGGACTGGAGCACACCTGCGCAAGGATATGAAACCCATGCCGTTCTAATTTAGTAAAATCGTCCAATTTCAGATCCGGATCGCCGTTCTGCTCCAGCTGAACGTATCGCGCCGACAGATATTGCGCCATTGCAAATAGTAATAATGAAAAGATATGCAAATACACATCGACAAGTTCGAAAATTGGTACCAGGACAAACGTCAACGACAAAAGCACCACTGGAACAATAAAAGTAACACTGATAACGACCAAAAACATGCAGTGACCGATAAACCGGATATCCAACTTCTTGAAAACGGTACGAAATGAATTCGGAAAGACGTGGAAGGTTTGGGAAGTATAATTTAATCGCAGTGACTTTTTTTCCGTTTCAAAAAAACATCATAAGACAGGTCTTCGGATCGCTGGCTAAGAAATCGATACTCCAAAGATAAAGATGTCCTGGACAAAAAAAAAAACACCAAATAAAAGCCAACCAGCATAGCTGAGTATTTGAGCGGCGGTTTGATCGAAATTGCGAGTCTGGATGAACTCGATGATCTGATCCATCTCGAGATACGAGGAGAATGATTGCTTTAAAATATCCGGTGTAAAATGGCGATTCCGCCACCACAGTTCGAGGAGTAGCAAGCCAGGCAGCCGAAGGACGATATCAAAGCAGCTGAACAGTGCTGCCGGCACACGACTGTTGAAAATTTCGACCGCTTCACCGACGTCCATCGCTGAGTGCCATAGATCCCTGCAAAAACCATTTATTATGGCAATTAAATCATCACAACATAACAAATATCGTCGTATCGTACTGTACAGAACGATGCGAAATTCAACATCAGATCTTTTCTGCGGATTATCCTTGAACCTATGAGGTGGCGCAGCCCCCGAGCTGCTTAATGCGCCAGACTCCCGCACAACTATCGTTGAATTTCACACCATTAAAGTTAGTTATTAACTACACACACAGACACGCACATACCCACAGATACACACACATACGCAAAACTTGCACATATAAGCATACAATACTGCTTTAGTTGCAAATTTCAAACAATCAAATAGTTAAATCAGGTAGAATTACATGAAACGCAGGTACAACAGAGACATAATACCAGTGTGGAGCACGAATCACTAACACTAATAAAAATCGAGGTAAATCTTAGCCAAACAAACGATCTGTGAAAATTTTGTCTCAGTTTAAGCAAATTCACCGCTTCTGGTTTTGGTCTTCCGCAGCTTGCAACTGCCGAGCTTATCGTATCCCTTTGGTTCGATTAAATCGAATTTCGAAATCAGGGCTCTTCTGTCTTCAAAAAAGATAAAACAATTCGTATTTTGTGATAATTCTGCTGAACCAAAAACAAGCTTCCCCTTTTAGCATCAAAAAAATATCCCAATATATCACTACTTTGCGCATAGTT